AACATAAAACTCACACACCCTTATTACAACTTATTTCCTTGAGAATCACAATTTACATCAATGGATTCTCAAACTTAAACTTTGCTAGAAAATAATTGAAAAGAGTTCAAGAAGTTACCCTTGAAGAACTCTTTCTTGAGAGCCATTTAGATCCTTCTCTTCTTCTCCAAGGTTTGTTAATGGCTTTGAACTATAAGAGTATAAGGAAATTTAAGAGGAATATTTCTACATTTCAAACTTCACTAAAACATGAGAATGAGAGGATTTAGAGTTTCTTTACCCTTAGAGGAATACTTGACTAGTCTCCTCCTAGAATCCCTTGATCTCCTTCTTCTTCTTCTATGGTGTGCTAGTGGATCAAGATTGAGAGAGTGGGAGAAAATATTTGAGTGGAAATGGAAAGTGTGTGGCCGGATTTTTGAGTGGGGAAAAAGCTAGGAGAAAAAAAAATGAAGCTTATCCTATGTTGGTTCCTTTTATAGGCAACTTGAAAATTATTTTTTTAACACCAATTCCACTCCATCATTCAACCAAATTTTTGGTTAAAGTCCCCCTTTCTTGGCCGGTTTTGGAAGGAGAAAAGGAGAAGCAAATTTACCATTAATTCCCTTTCAACCACTACAATCACATCACCTTAACATGTCATCCACTTGCACACTCAACTAGCTAATTTTGGCTCTATTTTTTCTATGCATGGCCGGTGGTGTGCTTCAAGAAGGAAGTGTAGTAAGCATTTATGTCCAATAGTTGATTTGACACAATCCCATCACACATTATCATGTAATCCCCTAGCACACTCAACTAGCCAATTTTGGCTCTAATTTTTCTATGCATGGCCGGCCAAAGTGGAGAAGGAGAGAGAGAAAAATAAATCCTACCCCTTGTACTTTAGTCCACTCTCTTAAGTTACCTTTGAATCAGGTAAAAATCATACTGACTGTAAAGGGTACTTAGCTGACAAAAAAAATTCTTGTTTCTGACAGTTCTCTTTTTTTTTCTACTACTTATTTACAGTTCAACTTTTAAATCCTCGTCTGCTTTGATATCACGTTAAATTCTTACTCGCGTAATATCTTAAACTGTTTCAAGTCTTGAAATTAATTCTAGACTGAATAAATTCTAAATTTAACTTTTCTGCATTAAATCTCGGGAATGACGCTGTTTCTGACGGTGTCAAATCCCGAGCTCACATTGTAC